TGGGGTCACTCCGTGAGGGGCTGTGGGGCAGGGGGGACCTCCCGTGGGGTGCGGGGGGTGAGAGGGACCTTCCATAGGGTGCTGGGGAGCAAGGACCTCCCCCATAGGAGCTGTGGGCTGAGAGGGACCCTCCATAGGGTGCCTCTGCCCCCCCATAGGACCTCATGGGCTAAGGAGGGGCTTCTATAGGGTGCTATGGGGTGCTGTGGGGTGAGAGACCCAGGCAAGCGGGGTCTGGCCGTTCTGGCACACGGGTGCCACGCTGGCCCGCGGCGGCAGGGACATGGTAGCACAGTGTGGGCCTCGAGCAGCGTCCCCAGCATGGACAGAAGCGGGAGCACGGAGCCAGCCTTGCTGCGGGGGGTGGAAAATCCATGTGGAAACGGGCTGAATCCCAAAGGCAGCGCGGGCTGCCCGCTCCGCCCTGCCTGGGAGCTGTGTGAGACACACGGGTGCCCAAAACCGCTGTGGGGCACGAACCCCAATGCTGCTCCTGCAGCTGCGCTGCCGCAAACAGCAGCATGAGCAGCTTTGGCCTCGAGGCATCTCCCGGTGCCCACGCGGAGCACAGAGCTGCGTCCGGTGCTGCTCCCCTTACACTCCTACCCGGGCCTTCCTCGTACTCCATAGGCAGGAGAGGGGAGAAGCCCCTAGCAGAGGTAAATTGTGGGGTATAGGGTGCATTTCAACTCGAACTCAACTGCGCCAAGCTGATGGTTGGACAATGATTTTGAAGGTCTTTTCCAACCATAACGATTCTGTGGTTCTGGCCTCCGTGGAGCAGCCTGGGGTGCAGAGCCCCTTTCCCCCTCAGAGCCCCTTCCCTTCAAGCTGTTTCGTTGCAACCATTTATTAAAAGCTCGTGTTAGTGCGAGTGCTGGCTGCCCTGCTAGGGTGTCGTGGGGCTCTGGTGCAGGGCTTTTCATTCCTCAAAAATGCCCAAATCTGACCCGTTTGCCACCTGCTGTGGGAAGTGACCACTGCGTCACCCCATCTGGCCCCTTTTCCCATGCCCGTGCAGGGGGACTTGTTGCACCTGGGGATGAGGTGACACTGGAAACACGTGTAGGTGCCAGGAGGAGCCGGCAGCTGCTGCCCAAGCACAGGGACACGGCACCCGGCGCCCTGTCACCCGAGCCGGACTGGCCGCACGCTGGCATCAGCCTCTCCCTCCATCACCCAGCTGGGACCATCTCCAGAGCAGGACTCCCACACGCGGGATTTGGCTTTTTCCAGACCTGGCCTCAAGCGTGAGGCCTTGGAGCCTCTCCCGCCTGCTGGGACAGGGCCCGCGGGACCCTGCAGATCCATGTGTAGCAGCACTCTTCCCTGCTCCCTTTTCATCTCGGCGGTGGCCTTACGGAGCTGCGAGACCTGTTGGGGCTTCCTTGAGCACCCGACCACCTCATCCAAAGGTGCAGGGAAGCAGGGCCCCAAACCCGGGTCCAGGAGCGACTTCTCTGCAGCGCAGGGTCCGGAACCGCAGCCGCTGGAGCCGCCCGGGTGCTCTGGTTAGTGCAGACCCTCCAAGCAAGGTCCTGAGATACCCCTGCTCGCTCTCTGCTGCTCCTCTTCCTCCCTGTCTTTCTCCTTGGGGCTGCTCATCCCCTGGAGCCTGCAGGAGAGGGGCTATTCCTCCTTGTCCTGCCGCACCTCCCGCATGGACTTGAAGAAGTCGCTGCGCAGCAGGCGGTAGAGCAGGACGATGTTCATGGGCGTCATGATGGCCATGCCCACCGCGCTCACGGCGTACGTTGCCGGCGGCACGTTCTCCCGGTTGAGGAAGAGCCACCGCGTCATCCAGGCCAGCGTGGCGATGCGGAACACCACGTAGGTGCCCAGGTTGGCGATGCTGTTGAGGCGGTAGCAGGCGGTGTGCTCTAGGTTGGCCATGAGCAGAATCTGCCGCAGGTGGAGGAAGATGGAGTTAATCTCCACCAGCAGGGCCACGAGGGCAAACCCCACGTACTGGTGGAGCAGCACCGCGATACCGAAGCAGACGATGACCTGAGAAAGAGAAGAGAGGAGAGGCTGAGGCGGGATGTCCCTCCGGAGGGGCTGCAGGAATAGCAGTTCTCACGCACCCCAACCTGGAGCCCTCTGTGCTTGAGCACAGCATGGAGCAGAGGTGCAAACTGTTGTCACGCCAGTGTCAAACCACTTCTCATCCCCCCACTTCTATCTCTGTCTCCAGCATGAGATCAAGTCACCTTTTTTTTTTTTTTTTCTGGTGGGAGGAAGGGGCAAACGGAAGGAGGAGATGGAGATGCTTCTACAAACTCCATGCTGGAAAAAGAGATGGGAACAGCTAGACCTGACCCTGCTCTTTTGGCCTGGGAAATGCTGCTGCTTGTGGTCCAGCAGGTTTTTCCTGCTATAAAGAGGGGAGACGCAGAGCGCGGGGCTGCCTTTGGCTCTATGACTGACCCAGGGCAGCCAAACGGAGGGGATGAAGAGGTTCTGGTTCCCTAGCAAGCCCCAGAGCTGCTTTGCTGCATGCTCAGACCTTCCTCCAGTTCCCACCAGCAACGCTGCTCTCCACACGGGCTCTGTAATGAGATTTCCCATTCCCTGCTGGCTAAGTCACTGCCTCGGTGCTGCCCAAGGGTCTCCGGCTCTGCCCGCTCCCCTGTCCCTGCCAGCCCGGCGCTGCGGTGTCCGCACTGCAATGCGGGAAACCCTCGGTCCTGCCGAACCCGGGGCCTCCTGGCAGCCCCGGCCTGGTGGGGCAAGTGCCGGGGGTCTGTGCCCACCGCGCCGACCAGCCCCGTGATGAGGGGCAGTCCTCAGAGCCGCTGTTCCCCCAGAGCACCCGCTGGACTCACCACGGAGTGATGGAAAAGCAGCTCCCAGGACTGCCGGAGCTTCTGATTGCACAGCATGTCCACAAAGTCCTCAAGGAAGTAACCTGGGAAGAGAGAACCGTGAGCTGGGACTCAGCCTGGGAGCCTCTGCGGTGCAGGACCCTTGGGGACAGCAGCAGCTGTGACTCCACTGTGCAGACAGGGCCAGGGCTCACAAGCGGCACCACAAACGCTGACCAGGAGGAGGGGACGGCTGTGCGTTTTGCACCCTCCTGCAATCGCGCTGCAGGACGCGCCGCTCCCTGGGGTGCTGCTCCCGGCGGAGGGAGACCGGAGGGTGCCCAGCATGGGGACCCTCACCCTGCGAAGGCACCTGAGCCACCCGGCCCTCCCCGCTGAGCCGCAGCGATGCCGGGAGGCCGATTAGTGCTGCCCATGGGGCTGCCCACAGCTCTGCAAGGAGCCAACAGGGGAACAAGCTTCTCCAGCCAGAAGACTTGGAACCCCATGCCAGCAGGTTGGGCTGGGCACAGGGATCCGCGGGATGTCCGAGCTGCCTGCTCTGGGGGAAGGACCTGTGTGGATCCAACGCCAGAGACCCTGCCGGGACACCCCTGGGCTGTCCCTGGAGGAGCGTGCGGGCAGGCCGGTGCCCAGCACCTCCTGGCCGTGGGTGCCGTGGGGCAGAAAGGAGCCACTGTCCTTGCCGAGAATAGGGTGATTGTCTGGGGCGCCCGAGACGTCGCCGCTGGGGATGTGGCGCAGGGGGCTGATCCTGGGCACCGACAGTCCCTAGGGAAGTGCTGGACGCAGAGCCCGCTCCTCTCACCTACGGACACGGCCACCAGGCTGTGCGCCCCGGGGGGGTGCGTGGCGGCCACGTCCTCCGGCAGCTCCGGGTACAGGCAGAACCTGGGGGAGAAGCATCGTGAGCACCGGGCAGTGTCCTGGTCACCCGAGTCCCCACCAGTTCCCTCGGTGCCTCCTGATGCCTCTGATCCCTCCAGGGCCTCCCTGTCCCCCACTATCCCTCAGACCCCGATCTCCCCCCAACCTGACGCCTCCCGGATCCCTCCGGTACCTCCGTGTCCCTTCATCCCCCATCAGCGCCCGGGGGCGCCCAGAGCCCTCCTGCTCCCTTGGATGTCGCAGCACCCGC